AAAATACGAAAATAAAATAAAACATCATTGTACGCTCCGAATCTAAAAGAACCACAGCAGGTGTGTCGAAACCGCTGAATATGCGGCCTACGTACCCTACGCGCATAATTTCCGAAGGAGAGGTGTAAAGGAGCTATATTTTACTTTTGACGCGCATGTGTGTTTGGGTAGGACACGATTGCGTACGTTTATCCTTTTTGACAACACGATTACGTACTTTTTTCAACGGATTAAAGAGTACTTAAAAAAAAAAAAATAAAATCAACAAGATTGCGTACGAATTCGTGTGCAACGTTGTCAAATGTTTATACTATATGCTCAATAATAATCCAGTGTAGGTACAATGATTTTATCTGAACTACAAAAATTGAATATTATTACTAATAAAATAATTAATAAATAAATAAAATCATAGTTATTATTAATTTATAATTATTTTAAAATACTTAAATTTTAATTCGCGAACATCTATAACATTATGCTTTAAAACATTGCAATACATTTTAATTGATTTTATACCTATCATAATCCTTTATTATATATTGAATTCGAATAATATACTATTTTGCCATTTTCTTTATTTCTCCGTTATTAATTAATTAATAATAATAATAATATATTCGCAACAATAATATACAATAGGTACAATTTAGTTAATTCAATTTTTATAATATTGCAGCATCCCCTAAAAGCTGAACTTGTGCTGGAGGAACATCCCCAGCACAACTAATTATCTACCAATTATACCAAAAAAACCAATTAATTGTATGATCGGTCTTGTCTATTAAAACTTATAAGCACTGACCAATTTCCTTTTTTGGATTTTGTAAGTTTAATAGAATTTTGGATATTACTAAATGTCGATAAAATACACATTTGAACCAACGAAATTTCCAGCATATTAAGATGTATTTAATGTTGCGGTGATATTGTTAACAATAAATGTTTATGGAAAAACTCAAAGTATATATGAATTATTTCTGGTTCATTCGTGTGGTATGTACCGGTATGAAAATTGGCAACAGCGCTTAAAATTTCGTGTAACCAAAAATCAGGTATTGTCGTACGCAATCAACCGTGTAGCTTAAAATGGTATCACCGACAACGAACGTACACAACCGTGTATTACCCGTGTGTTATTCAATTGGCCGGTAATGTTAGGCAGGTACTAAGGTTTATACTTAGCAAAAAAAAAAAAGCAATAAAAATGACGATTTCTACAGGTTTTGGACGCGCGGAGACGTATACCTAATTACAAACCAATAAACAAGTAAGGCCCGGCGTCCACCAAAGTAACGTGGCTCGTGATATGACAAGTGATGTGACGAGTTAGCAAGTGACATGTCATACAAGTTATTTGTCATTACATACATACAAAAATCATTCATGTCCGTACACTGATCAAACCTGTCAGATCATGTATCAGTTTTGTTCAACTTCTGAAATTTTGTCGATGACAAAAGTACTGCATGTTCTACTTTCGTCACTTGTCATCGGCTCTCCACCGTGGAAAGGTATGTATTATTATAATTATAATAACATAATATAGAAAATATACAGGGTCATGCTCACGGGGACGGGGTTAGGGGGTTCAACCCCCTCCCCCCTCGTGGACACTTTACAAATATATTTACTTACACATAATTATAATAATTTATTGGGAAAAAATCTTGTTAAAAATCACTAGTCACGTCACTTATCATATCACGAGTCGCGTTACTTTGGTGGACGCCGGGCCTAAGATACCGGTTGTCTGTCGAATGCACGAGGTCTGAAAATATACCGATGGCGGATTTTTAAATGTCAATTTCCATTATAATGTGCGGGGCTCATACATTTATGTATTTAATTTGATTTTTTGGGGGTTTTCGTTACAGAGCTTTGGATTACCCACGAGCTGATTACTTAGAATCGTTTCTCGTTTGGAACGAGGTTTCGTTGTTTTTTACAGCGTACATTTTTGTTTTAGTTAGTAGCCCAGGGGCAAACGGGCAGTATTTTGGCCCGGACTGAGAAGGATATGAATGACTCAAACAATTTTTTAACCAGTGAAAATCTAATACCGACTTTTAAGGTAGGTACAATATTATTGTAAACTGTCATATATCTATAGATAAATAAGAGTTAATTAATAAATATAAATCCATGAAAAAAATAATAGATAATTAGTCGAGTAATCATTAAATACTCTATAAAAACATCTAACATTTTACCTTTATTTAAAAAAAAGTTGAGCTTTCTTCGATTATCGTCATTTTCAGTAGGTAACGAGTAACTCAGAAGCTTGTCTTATACGGCGCTTTTCCGCTCCGCCTTTAATGAGGTTTTCAATCTTTGAATTCTTGATATTAATTTTCTTCATTTTACAATTAGAATAGTTTCTTAATTAATTTTTGAAAATATACTATGTAACACAAAAAACAAAATAAAAACCAAATTGCATAGTGCTATTTATTACCTACCTATTAATAATAAGTATTATTAGTATACAATCGTCAACCGTTGTTCGCTGATAACGTGTTATCGTTAGGTACATAATTTTTACCATAGAGTTTAGTCAAAGAGTATATTAAATTTATTAAACCACTGAACTGTAATCTCGATAAACGTACTCTGAAAGTCTGGAATTTGACATGAATTAGGTACGTACTTACTACCTACGTTTCAATACTGAACCAGTTTTATTATATTATCCATATTTTAAGTACGTTTTATTCATAACAATAAACTTAAGAAAAAAAAAAAAAATCGCACTTAATTTGCGTAGCAGCCCAAAATAATAATTATTAATTAACCTCACCTAACCGGCCCGGGCAGACTTCTCCGCCACTCCTCCCCGCCCAGTCCGCCCCTGTACTCTGTAGTAGCCGCATAATAATAATAACGTTGTTACCTATTATTATGGTTATTTTCTGTGAACCTAAAAATTATAAATTACCATATTTAACAATTTATCATCCTATAAACGGTCATTCGCCAGCCGCCGGCATTGACATTGATATTTAGTATTTGCACCGACCAACTGGCGACTACAGAAAACTATACAGTCGGCGTGCTGTAATATCGTTGTGCAATCTCGGCTTCATTTGGGGACCTTGTCGAAACTTGTTTTTATACGTTTGTTAAATGAATTTTAATGCGATTCCGTTTTTGCTGTTTGATTTGTGCACGTCACGTTGACCTAACGTTCGTTGATCATATTCATGCCGCCTCAATTCAGACAAGCGCGGCCACAGGACTAAAGACCTAGACAATTATCTAGTACAGCGGTTCCCAAACTTTGGCACCTTTAGGAAAACGTTTGTGTGTTTCGTGGAACCCCAATGTCTCCAACTCCAACTGAACACTAATGTTTCAATTATTTATCAAAATAATAAATAGTTATTATTTAATTATTAAAAAAAAAATTATTTTTAACAAAATATAATTTATTAGATTTTACAATATGTTTACTTTTGTACGTTTTTAATGTGATGAGTGGAATTGATTTATGATTTGACTTACAATGGTTTTAAAATTGGGTCTTATATCTGAAAGTTGAATTTGTAGGTCTGGAGCAGCATCCAATCTATTTCTGTGCTTATTTTTAGTATACACATACGAGGAAAAACCAGCCTAACAACGGTAGGTTGTTACAAAAGTTACCTAATCGGGTTAGAATAGCTTTTACAGCTAGAAATGGGTATTCGTCCAATCCAAAACTCTTTAAAGATCCAGATTCAAATTTATGATTTAAGAATGACATACTCTTAATTTCAATAAGGTTTTCATATTCGAACATTGATAACATGGCAGATTTTTTTTTTATTCACAAAAGGATTTTGTATCCAATCAATGTCATTTTAATTATCGGAAAAGTACTGAGATAATGTTTTTTCTTATGTTTTCTGCTTTTATTTTTTTCCAATTAGGTACAATATAATATAATTTTCTCAATATTCATGTACATCTGACGAAACCCGTGAGATTGTTCCACGGAACCCTTAGGTTTTGCGGAACACACTTTGGGAATCGCTGAGTCCTAGTATAGCGATGTAAGTGATTTTCTGTTTTCCAGCACCTGGAAAACTCATAATTTGTATCCACATTATCCATATGCATTATTATCAAACCTGTATGAAGTGTCACAATAATACATTATTATAGGTACTTAATTACAAATTTATAACCGAATATTACAACATATTTTGCTTTATTTGTCGGTTAGGTAGGTACTGAAATAATATTGACGATTAGACTAATGTTGTTAAATGTACATTAGAGCCACAATAGATATATTTTATCATTCTTTATACTGTGTTAATGTTTTGTATACAAATGTGTATAACAATATTATCATATTATGTTCAATTGTAATTCAGAATTAATGAGTAACCGTATAAATATGTACGTAATATTATTTTTATATTTGTTTTTCTTTCCTTAATATACAAATATAGGCTCCTACTACCTGCCCAGTAAGGCAGGTACCTAACCTAACCTTATTCTAGGTTTAAATTTATTTTTGCTTAGGTACATAAGTACCTACCTATTTAGCTGTTATGATTTATACATTTTCTTGGCAATTACAATAAAAACCAATGACTTATGTATGTTTTCAATTATTTAATTAAATATTAGTCATTTTCACTCATGAATAAAAACCAAACATAAATCCGAATTCAAACAAACAATATGCAATTATTTAATTGAAATAAGTAATTGTTTATGTATATTAAAATAAAAGGTGTAGGTAGGTTCCTACAACATTTTTATAAACTGTATATGTTCACTAACACTAACCTAACTTAAGTTATAAATAGATATAATAGGTAATTAATTTTGATATAATATTTAATTTTAAATGGTAGGTACCTACTTAAATATTTAAGTAGGTGCATACATTGCTCAACATTTTTACAGAAAATTATTTACCAAATTCATACTAAGACAAAAATATAATATGGACACATATATTCATGTAATCACAAATAATAATGTTCAATTTGTATATTGTCTTATGTATATTTTCTAATGGAATTCTACAGAAAAAAAGATAAAACATTTAAAAAAAATATATTCAAATTATTTACCAACATTTCTGTTTAAAAGTAATTTGAATAATAATTTTGAATTATTGAATATTAATTGATAATTCAATAAGATAGGGGAACGGATAAGAGCAGGTAGGGCCGGATCTAAAGGGCGGATTAAACTGGGGCCCTTGACCCGGACGTCTTAGTCAGGGGATCCAAATTACCAAATAATAAGTGGATAGATTAACAGTTTTAATTCATTCACACAAAAGTTTTTCGGAATCATACAAAAATAATTTTTTTTCTAGTTCTATCATTTACAATTATATTATCTCAAAATAATGAATATGGATAATTATTGTAAAATAATAAAATTGAATAAACTTACAAGATAAATAAAAAAAATCATTATAATTAGAACATATTAATATTATAAACATTTACATTTTTAAAAAAGTCTATCATATTGAACTGTTTCAACAACGCTCAAATACTTTGTACATTTCAGGTAAACTAGCTATTTGTAATAGTGTACCATCCTCTAAAAACTTTCTTGGAGGTTGAAATGATTTTCGTAAAGATGGATATAACACATGTTCTAAACACCAAGCCCAATTGTTATCAGATAAAGTATCCTAAAAAAAATTGCATATTAGTATTGCATTTATTAATACAATAAATTTATTTATTTATTAAATTAAAACATACTGATATATCTTCTGTGTTGCTACAATATTGTTTCCACGGATGCAATACATAAAACTTAGCAGTTTCTCGACAAAAACTCATAAAACATTCTTTTTCGGCAGACCAATCAACTTCACTAGCTAACCGCAATAGGTACAACGGTAATCCATTTAAATCTGGTAAAAATCCCTCTAAAAATGATTATATTTACTCAATAATCAATACTACCAAATATTTATATTTATTGTAACTAAACTCACCCAATAACAAGGGTATAGACAATATGTTTGCATCTGTGTCAAATTCCATTGAAAAATAATCATTTAACATTGAAGCTCTAGATATTAATATTTCAGTAGCATCACGAGCTAATTCTTCTTTTGGTTTGTCTTCTCCTTGATATCCAGATTCTGGTTGTTCCAACGCTATTAATATTAACTCATAAATAGGTAATGCATTCTATAAAAAATAAAAATTGTATTTTATACTTTGTACAAATATAATAAGTTGTTATTGGAACTTACAGAAAACTTTATAACACCAAAATTTCCAAATTCGTACATCATGATTTGGTAAAACATTTCTTGCCTAAATACCAAAATATAAATACTTAGCAAGATAATAATATTTTAAATACTTATACATACAACACTTTATTGGAATTGCAAATGTATAAGTTTGTATCATGTTGAAACAATGTCCATGTAGGAGAAGCTGCACCAACATATTTATGATTCTGAAAAATTGTCTGTAAGGTCTCATTACAATGGTTTTCAATATCTTTTCGTAAAGATAAAATGCTGCTCAACTTAATTTCACGTCTAATTTAATAAAAATAATTGTCTTCATAATTTATATCAATTATTAATTAATTATCAATTTGTTAAATATTAATTAAAATACTAAAAAAGTATTTACCGGGTAATAATAGCATCACTCTTTGATTTAGGCAACATTAACATACTGCTATTACTTGTTTCAAGAAATTTGTCAATTTTCTGCTCAGAACAATCTGTTCTTACCATTTTATTTTGCGAAACATTTATTGTTACTTTTGATTCTTCATTTTCTTTAATTTCTTTTTTTTCATTAGATTTATCAATTGATGTGTCACTAGAACCTGGCAACCTCGTCTTAAATATTAAATTAAAAAACAGAAATATTTAAATAATTTTCTTGTTTTCTTTGTTTTAAAAATATTAAAATATGTATTTACTTGAGTATAAAATGTTCTTGATGTATTAGTACCAGAAAGTTTTTCTTGAATAGCATCAACTACTTTATCAATTACTTTATCCTCATGTAAAAAATGGACTTCATGTTTTGTCGGATGAACATTGACATCAACATTCAGTGGGTCCAAGTTCAAACTCAAATATACAAATGGATGTGATCCTTTAGCTAAATAAATGCTGTATACCTGGTCTATAGCTTTTCTTAATCCTAATAGAAGATTAGGAAAAAAAATCAGACATTTTATACATTTATTTAAGGATATAAGATAGCATTTGTCTGATAAATGAATGTTGTTATAATATTAAAATTATATTTTAATTTATAAATATAAAAATTATTTTGAAATTTTTATATACCCTCAAAGGATTTGATTAAATATATAAATAAATATATATATCTTTGCAAATCTACCTTGAGAATCTACTAGACGATTGTTTATAAATAATATGAATATCTGTTTCTTAGCTGAAAAATTTGGATTTGATACATAGCCTTTTATTTTGACTTTAAGGATATTACAATAAGTGTCTATTTCCAACAAAGCTCTGAAAAAAAAAAAATTATTACTTTTAAATTTTATAAATTAAAAAATTATATCAGCGTTTACCTAGATATTGTTGAGCCGTAAATGGCTTGTATGTTATTAATATGAGAAGAATCTTGATTAGTTTTAACCTCAGTTAATGATTCTCCTTGTTTCTTAACTGTAAATCCAACCAATGGATTGTGTATAGCATATCGGCTCACCTTTTAAAATGTATTCATTTATTTATATAATTCAAATAATTCTAATATTTGAAATTATATTTAAAAACAACTAAAATTTACAATGTGAAAACTATAATATTTTTCTAAAAATTCATTGTGTGAAAAAAATAATTTAATATACTAGCGAGGCTAGGAAATATAACAAACTGTCCCCCGCATCACCAATTGTTTGTTCAGTGTATAATGCATAATGTTGACTTGTACAATCTTCAAATCGCTATGACTTTTAAAATTATTGACTTAAAACACACACTTAAAAAAAAAAAAATGAACAAAGGTGTTAAACTACATTTTTTCCACCCTGAAATAAACACTTTCAAAATATTTAAAAAGCAAAAAATTAGTTAAAAGTATATTTTTTTTTATGATATTATTGAAAAATGATATAAATAAAAAAAAAATTTTTAATTTAATTTTTAAACTCATAATATGGCATAAATTTCTACAAGTCTATTAGATTTAATGTTCAGCAAAAAAACTAAGCAACTGTTATAAGTTCCAAACTCCCAAACCCTGGTTATTAGTAACTAAATGACTTAAATAAAATGAAAAATCCTAATGTTCAAAATAAAATATGATAGAAGATAATTTATCATTATTACTTACAACTTCAACAACTTTTAAATGTTCTTCATTAAAACTCTTCATTGACTTTTTTCTAGTAGCAATGTTGTAGAATAAATCTTCCACAGTTATAATGGTTCCAATATTACCAGCACAAGATTTTGGTGGTGCTTTTAATTTACCATCCATGTACGATGCTCTAATAAAAATGTTTACAATGTATTTATACTAAAATATTTCTAACTAATTGATAAGTACTTGTAGGCACAAAGAGCGCCATTGGTTTTTGTTGTTATTGTCAAATGAGCAACATGGCTGATACTAGCTAATGCCTCACCTCGAAATCCGTAAGTAGATATTGAAGTTAGATCTTCAAATTGCTGTAACTTACTAGTAGTGAAACGTTCACATACAATACCTAAATCTTCAGTCCTAATACCTGTACCATTGTCTTGTATCTATATAATAGATACAAATATTGTGTTTTGTAGTATAATAATGAATGGTTCTTATAAATACATAATAATTATTGTTGAATACCTGAAGAAATTTTAATCCTCCATTTTTTAAAGTGACTTGAATGTTTGTAGATTTCGCGTCTAAGCTGAAAAACAAAAGAAATACAAATAATAATTAAATGATATTATAACAACTAAATTAATAACTATGATTTACATATATTATGGTTGGGTAAAAAAAATTATTGTTTTTAAATTTGCTAAAACAATTTTTTGTTTTCTTATTAGGAAAAAATACCTTATTTGAAAATTACCTGTTTTCTAGAAGTTCTTTTAGCGCGTTAGCTGGTCTCTGAATCACTTCACCAGCAGCAATTCTATTCACAACATCCTCTGCTAATTTCCTTACAATTGGTACTTGATGATCCATTATCTGTAATACTATCATTGGTTAGAGAACTGGGATCAAATATTGACCCAAAGAAATATTGTCTTACCGAATATAATATGTATAAAATTATGCTATTTAGATACCTATTATAAATATATCAGTGAAATTTATTACATGGGTAATAATGTACAATAATATTTGAATAATGATAAACAGTTATTTTGTTAGTATAATATCATGAAATTGAATTAAACTTTTAATAATTTATATTTCAAACACAAATCTAAAAAAATTGAAATATTCTCATTCGTATGACTATAGTTTACATTATCAGTGTGTTTGTACCTATAAATTCAGAAATGGGCGCGAAATGGACTGCTGATAACTATCATAAATAATAAAGAAATAGTAGCTTTGCTCAGAATCGTTTTTTGTTGGCAATGCTTAAATTTACTTAGATACAGATATAATATAAATTTCCTTCAATATCCTACCTTCCTAAATTATTTTCATCTATAAAAGTGATTCACCCCTTCGTGCAAAGTATGTTTATTTTTCTTGTCAATCATTAATATTAAATTTAATTATTTCGCTCCCCCTATAGAGAGAGATACTCCTGCGGCATGACCATGATGATCATTTATAATCATAGCGTTAAGTAGGTATTATGGAACAAAGTATGTATGAAACAAATGTCCATTGGAAATGATATATTTTGTTGAATGTAAGTTTGTTGGAACAAATTGTTTGTGGCACAAATATATATATACATATATATATTTGTGGCACAAATATATATATACATATATATATAAGTATAAAAATAATTTTGTGGTTAGTAAACATTTCTTCCAAAATCTTTTGTTCCAATGACTATTTGTTCTAAAAAACACTTAATAAGTTTTATTTATGGAACAAATGTCCATTGGAAGAAATTTTGTAAAACAAGTTCGACGGAACAAATGTTTTTGAAAGAAATGGTGAAATGTGGAACAAAAGTACTGTAGAACAAATATTTTGTGGAACAAACGGGTTACACCACTTTATTATCTATGGCCTATCTATTCTTTATTATCTATGAATGGAAGCACGGATGTAGAGAGATACATCGTGAGTGAAAGGTACGTTTTTCTCCCCTGTAAGTAGTATCATCTTATCTTTTCTACATCGTTGGTTCACAATATCAAATCGCGATTTTTATTTTTAATGCTGCAAATTATTTGTTACTTATTATTATTAGCAAATGTTATTAGCCATCAAGACCTTTTTAAATTTTTTATACATTTTAAATATAATATGTAGTATAAATTCTAAGAATTCAAATTTGAATTATAATGGAAAACGATTTGGAAATACCTTTTAAAGATCTTCTCGAACACGATCACCCAGAAGTTTATAAATACATTCAAAATGCTGTCCGAATGCTTCATAGACAACAGAGTTTACTGGCAAAGATTAAAAACAACTCTGTTGACTCCAAGGTATTAAATTCATTAAGACAGTTCATAATATAACACACTACTTTAAGTTTAGTTTACAATACAATAATATTTTTAATTATTATTGTTTACATAGAAATCAAACAATAAAACTGAAGTTTATGACCAACAAATAGAATTGGTCAAAAGTGAAAAAAACAATGAGAAAGAAAACTTAAAAGTTGTCGATGATCCAAATACAGTTGATGCGTCTTTTACAGTAAGTGAACATTTTTTTTTTATATAGACATTTTTCTTATCAGCTTAATAAGGCCTTATACTCACATTGTTACCACTATTGTTTAAACATTTCCTATCATCCTCATCCTCAATTTGCACATTTTCATGGACCATTTCTAGATGTTTTTTTACCACGTTCTTTAATCTTTTGCTAATAATTCTTCCCTCTGTTACTTATTTAATTGTTTTTTCCATCCGTTCTCCATATATGACTGAACTAACCTGTTTCTGCTAATGATGGATGTTTGGTTATACATAACTATTTTGTAAGTCAGCCTTATGTCTGTTATTCTCTCAATAATAACTTTGACTTTAATAGCATTAGTAAATTGTAATAGCACCTGTTCACACTGGTTGTTCATTTATTTCTTTGTGTATGTTATTTTTATTTATCCCTAAGTATACATACGATGATATTTTTTCAAATAAATATAAATTAACTTAGGTATAAGCTTGAATTTTTTCTGTTGTTTTCTGATATACATATTATTTTATTTTATTCTATTCTGATTAACTCATGATCTTGGTGGTTCGTATCACTTCGTTTTTAGAATTTACTAGAACGAATACATCATTTACCTAGTCTGGGATGATATCAATTCCATCTATTTCTATTTTTGGTGCTTCTTTAGTTGTTCTCACTACTCATTCAAGGGCAATGTTGAATAGCATTGGAGATAATGTGAGATAATGAATCCATCTTAACACAGGTCAGATTTCATTTCAACCATTTCAGTTAACTTATGAATCTAAAATTAAAATTAATGAATTCATTACGCCATACATTTGTTAATTTTCATTTTACACCTTTTTCTGGGTTTTCTCAATTATTATGAACACTGCCCAGAAAATCAGAAAATGACTTAATTCCTCAGTATCTATATCAAAAATGTGTCTCGGCATTTTTGATTAAAGCAATACTTCTGGTAGAAAAGTTGTCTACAGGTAGAACAATAAAATAAATAAAACATATTAAGACCAGTAGATCCATCTCTCTGCTCTGAATCTAAAATTATAAAAGGAATATTATTATTATTGTGCTTAGAACACAAATTGCAGTATATTATAATTGTAAATATTACACACCTACATAACAATTATTGTTTGTTTATACATTTAATAATTTATTTATTTATAAGTATATTATAAAAAAATAATAATAATAATTTGTATTCAGTAGTATACTAGTATAATAAGTTAAGTGTTGATTTAATTTTATTATTATTACAGATTAAAAAATTAACAAATGTAAAGAAAAATGAAGAACAAGAAAATGACAACTCTGAAAAAATTAAATGTGAAATAAAGGAGGAGGGAGAATGTAGTGAAGATGAAGACAAATCTAAAGATTTTAAACAGACTAATCAATATAATTTGGGAGAAAGTCGTTTTTTATTAGAAAAAACGACAGGAATGTATTATGATCAAGTGACTGGTTACTATTATAATTTAGTAAGTTAAATTAATTAATTTATCACTCATAATTTTGTTTTATAATGATATATGAATATATATATATTTTTGAAATTGCAGGAAAATGGATTATTTTATGATGGGAACCAAGGGTGTTATTATTATTTTGATGTAATTGCACAAAAGTATAGATTATATTCTCAGATTCCCTCAAATCCAGTTCAAGTATCTTCTGTAGAGCCTAAAGTTGTAAAATCAGAGAATGGTCAGGATTTACCTGAGAGTATTAGTGATGATACTGATTCAGACAATTCAGATGATAGTTGTAACTTAGTTATTAAAGAAGATACTGAAGAAGATACTGAACAAACAGAGAAAGATATTATAAAAGATAATATTTTACATGTTAATGAAAAGAATCTTATTGAATGTCCTGACGAGAAAGCTGTGGTGAAAAATGAAATAGATGTTAAGCAGCACTCAATTACCAATGATGGTAACAATGAAGAAAAAGAAGATTTAAAACTTGAAGATTGCCCCCCTCCACTTTCTACTTGTGAAGTACTTGCTAGTTTTTTGATTAGTTAGTTTTTCAAATTTGTATTTTCTGTTATTCTTATTTCAGATTTTAGAGAAGCGTTATTTGAATTTATTGCAATATACAAAGTTATTGCCAGCACCTAAGAATATAGTTCACAAATTAACACCTGATGGGGTAAACCATACTGGTAAGCCATTTGGAAAATTGGCACAAAAACTAACTTACATAATTTGCAGAGTAAAGCAAAACAATATGCACAAATAAGAAACTGGTATACACTCAAACATCAACTATCGGCAATCGAATCAGAAATTATTCAGTATGACAATCTTGTTTGGGATCGAATTGAACAATACTTATGTCAAAATAAGAGAGACGACAAAAATTCTAATTGGAAATCATATAAAGAAGTTAAGGGACATTTGTCAGATACGCAAACTAAATTAATTAAATCAAGTAAACAATTCTTTTTAGTTTTAATTTAACAATGATAGTTTAAACATTTTTTTATTGATTATATTAATTTACAATATATATATATATATATATATATATATGTTGTACTTATAGAAGTTGTGGGTTGGCCTCCATGTGTACGTATTATAATAACAGAATCTAAAGCATGTAAATCATTGGTCGGTAAACTATTTTTAATTACATGTCCTGGTGGAACAATTGGACGTTCAACCAACAGAGATGTAGTAGTACCTGATGATAATGTTAGCAAGGTTAATATTGATATTTTGTTCTTCATATTTCATCTTATTCACCAATATTACTGTATCAATGAATTAAATTTCATAATTACCTATTAATTTATAAAATATATTTTTTGTTATTAGTTACATGCTGAAATATTGTTTGTTGGCAATGTAAATAAAGTTGGTAGAGGCCATTATATTGTTAAAGATAAAGGTAGTACAAACGGCACCTTCTTAGATGGTAAAAAATTGTCAAAGAATTCATCTTCCACTGAACCACGTCATTTAGTCCACGGCAGTGAACTTTCTGTAGGTGATACTACATTTTTGTGTCATATTCATGAAGGGATGGAAACATGTAATTTATGTGAACCTGGTATACAAGCTCCTCCTTTAGAAGAGAGTAAGCCCTAATTTATTTTTTGTATGATTATTGATAATAGTATTTTAACTTTATATAAAAGAGCTCATAAAATATTCAATATTGTAGAATCTGAGTCTAGCAAAGAATGTATTAGTTTTACAAAGATGTTAATTTTTTTTATTTTTTCTGTGAACACTTTCTACTAGAAAGCTTACCCTGATGTAGACCCTTTTCTGAAAGGAAATTTTCTTGAGGTAGTACTTTAGGGAGGTTAAAAAACTAGGAAAATGTATGAAATGTAATATATAGTAAAATATTACCATTTCTTTTTTGTGGACAACTTTTATACCAAAAATTTTGCTCCAATTTACAATGATAGCATTTTTTTAAAAAAGGAAATGTGACTGAAGGTACTTTAGGGAGACCATTTTCGATTTTTCTAAGAGTTTTCTCAGAAAATGTGAAAAAACAGGAAAATCGGTACAATATTAAACAAATATTATTAAAGAAAGAATATATTGTTGAACTTCACTCAGAATCGTTTTTAGTAAGCAATGATTTATAGTTACTTACAGATACAAATTAATTTCCCTTTTATATCCTACCATCGCAACTTTTCACCAACAACAGTGGCTGCACCCATCAAGCAAAGTATGTCAGTTTTTTTTAAAAGTTAAATTTGAAACTCCCTACACATCTTTTTCTAATATAAAGTAAATAAATATTTTTCAGCCAATTATGTAATAAATATAATCCTACATGCATTTTATTTAACCAAATGAAAAATATGTAGGTTGTTTTATTAGTAATAGTAATTACTAAAAATAAAAAAACTCGTTTATTAGTTCATCATAATTTACCATTTTATATAATATAATCTGTATAATATTGACTATTTTATAGCAGTATTGTAAAATAACATTTTCCTTTAGATATAAGATTGTTATTTTTTTTATAAATCAATAATAATCTAAATTGAATATATACAAGTAAAAATGATGTTGACCAATTGACTTATTTGTTTAAAGGTGTTAAAAATGTTTTACCTCCAAAACGAAAATATGACGAAGAGCTTAAAAGTATTAAAGAAAAGTATGGGTTACTTGGCTGTGAACCGCCTGATGCTGTTTTACCAAAAGGATATAAAGACAGAGCTGATAAAAGACGAAAAACTGTTGGATCCCAAAATGCAAACGAAAAAACTGAAGTGGCTTGTGTGACACAGTGAGTCCTACATTTATTTTTATGTTTGATAATAAAATCATTATTAATAAATAGTTGAAATAGTCAATTTTTATATAAAATAATATACATTATTATATACATACATATTAAAAACAGAGGATGTAACTAATGACGTTTACACACATTTGGGATATTGTAAGTAAGTATGCTGTATATTCATACAATATACTATAGATACTTGAGTGTTTAATGAGCTCTCCCAAAATTAACCAAGTTAATTTAACTTACATGTGCTGTTGTACAACTGTTTGTATTTATTTATTTCTTTTACTTATATTCTATTTTTATCTTTTAGGAGTCATTGGTATTCCTTGAAAATATTATTATCTATATTTTAATTTTTTTTTTTTTAAATGTTTCAATTTACTTTATTGCTGACATAAACTTATCCCGTTGTTGCTAAATACAAAATGTGTCATTCCGTGTACCTTTTGTTCTCTGTAATTTATTTTACAATTTTGTAAAATTTAAAATGTGACACATATTATTTATTTTTTTCAAATTAAAACTCATGTCCGTCTTCTAAATACTTATATAATATGACTTATTGAATTTATAAGAAATAAATTATAATAATTTGTTATGAATTTAAATTTAAAAAAAAAAATTGTGAATATATTGAAGTACATTTTATTTTGCCTGTAATCATAATACATAAATGAAAGTTTACAATATAGTAAAATTATTAATATTTGACATTTGTATGATTATCATAACATATTAGGACTCTTGTTAAAATTAAAATGCGTAACTACTTTCGTTTTAGATAATAGTGCACCTGTTTGTAGATTAATAAAAAAAAAAACTGAAATATTTGTTTTGATTTATGTTTTTTACTGTCTTATATCTACTATTATATTAAAATACCAGTTTTTATTTTTATACTTACAATATATTATATTTGATTTTGTGTATTTTAGACCAATTCCTATGAAAAATAAAGGCTTCAAATTGTTAGAAAATATGGGATGGACACCAGGAAAGTCTTTAGGAGCAAATAATTCTGGAATTAAAGAACCTGTAAGTGTCTTATCAAATCAATTTATAAAATTATTAAAATGTTAGAAAATCATATTTCAATTTAAAATATGGTATATATATTTTTTCATTTATCATTGATGTGCGAAATAATTACACATTGATTACAATATCTCCATTTTATAGTGCCTAAAGATATATTTTTATTTTAAAATATATTAATCAAATATATTCGTTTATCGAAAGAAACAGTTGATTTGCATATTTATTTAATGTCATACTGATCTTTATTATTCAGAAGAGAATACTAATATATTTAAAGGACAAACAACAACGGAAATTATAAATCCAGAAATGGGTAATACTATTTAAGATGTTAAATCCATCTTGAATGGGGTTTATGGTTTAGACATTCTGAGATGTTTCTCTCTTATAAAATATTTAGATTTCTGTTAATTTGCAATTAGTTATGTATAGAATCCTGTACAATTTTACATTAGATACTTAAGCAAACATTTATTCATGGAACTTCATTAATCTGTTGCCAGGTTTGTAACCAACATCTTTATTACAATGAAATTTACATGTGATCATTAGCTTATTATTCATTTGACTGTTTAAATTATTAATTATTCTAATTTATGTTTAGTGAGTTATTTTTTTTTTAAATATTATTGTACAACTAAATATAGAGGATGGTAATAATTTCAAATTCATAATTTTCAACTTTTTGTAACAATTTGAAATAATTTGCATTAATTTTTAAAGGGAAACTTAATGAAGTAGTAAAAATTATTTTTTCTGTTGGGAATAACTTCAAATATATTTTAACTTAAAACATTTATTTATTGCCTGCTATTGGGCGATTAAAAGGATTTTAGTTTTTATTAAATTATATTTGTGTAGTTAATTTTATAATTTTATACTCATATTCTTATAATATAAGTTGGTTTTACAATATTTTTTTTTTTTAGATTTCATTGGAAGTGAGAAATGAAAACATGGGACTTGGGTTTTCAACTTGTTTTGGTCTACCTGAACAATCCTCCAAAAATATTTTAAATAATCAGTCTAAAATACGGTTCAATTTCGGTAGTAAAACTAATATGCCTTTAAAAACTAATCGCATTAATTTTATTGAAGGTAATTTTATTGGTTATATTTGTTTGAGATAGTTCTTACATTATTATATTGTGTTTATAGATGAAACATCAGATGAAGAAGAAAAGTAATAAATTAATCTTAAATGTATAAATGAATGTCAATAATTACGAATGTGAACAGAAGTATTAAATTAATGGTCTAGTATGTATATTTTTCTAATGATATTGATTTTAAGATATGGATATTTTTATACTATTTTACTTTTGCAAAATGTCCATATTATATTTTTTTATTTGATAATTGTTAATAATATAATATTAATTAATTAGTGTTTATCATAATTAGATTTTAATTAAAATATTTAAAGTGTTCAATAAGAGGTAACAAAATTATAATAAGTTCATAAAGTTCAATAAAATATATACAATAAATAAGTTGTTTTATAGAATTATTCATCTCTAAATGCATTTCAAATTTACCTTGATAATTTGCACAATAAAATTTTTTAAATTATTTTAAATAATAATTAGAGTTGAATAAAAAAAAAGTACACTACTTTTTTTATAATAATAAATCTCAAACTATAATAATTAATAATAAATAAAGTAAATAAAAAAATATATACATAAAAACAATATAAATAAATGAATCAATGCATTGCCTGGAGTATTATGATAAGTGTATTATATGACCGGTTTCGAATTAAAATATAATATACTTTGTATAATACACTTATCATAATACTCTAGTTTGATTGATTGATTTATTTTATTTGTATATTTATTTACAAGTATTAACCATTTTAATAATTTTGTTTTTACTTTATTATTTTATTATTAATTAATAATAAGTCTGTACTTTCCTCTTTTAAGCATAACAAAATTTGAAACTGAATAGATTATAAGTGAATTAAAGTTTTGTATGAAAAATTAATTAATTTTTTTACTGTGAAAAAGTAGTTAGCTTTTTTCATAATTTTGAGAATTTTAAATTATTATATAGTGGGATCAAATCTTGATAAGACACTACCATTATCTCGGATTTTTTTTTGACAATTTATATATAAAATAACTAAAATGCTATTACATTGTTGTTATTTTTCGGGGTGAAATCACTACCTACTTATGATTTTTAAAATGCCATCTTATATTATCAATTACATAAATGTATGATGTTTTAGTTAAAATTAAATCTAATAGTGAACTTTTAATTTTCATGATATTGTCTTGATATTCTTATATTTCACTTTTAATTTTGGTTCGGGGGAGAGTATTGGGACACTACAAATGTCGAGTGTCACATCTCAACACAAATGATGCTCCACTACTTTTCCCCTATTCATACTTAAAGTGGAATATCTCTACAACGGATTAACGGATCAACACCATAATTTACTTTAATTAAAACACCATTTATTTATGGAATTTTAAATATAGATTGCTATTATAGGTGGATTTCAGTGATTTTACTTCCAAAAATAATGGCAACAACAATTTAAATATTTTCTGAGATAATGAATGTCTATTGATGATAGAATTGTATACTCAATTCAAAATTAATGTATTAAGTACTGATTATATAATATAAAGATAAATTTGTATAAATAAATAATAATTTCAGAAAATTATTTAAATCAAATAGTTGTGTTTTTCAATTTTGTTTTATTAATAATTATTAATAATGAATTGAACATTAATGCTAACCTATCACCTACCTATAACCTGCCAATAAAAATATTTAAGGGGGGGGGGGAGATATCATTAGTGTAACTCCATTCACATTCTAACAAAATATTACTAAGTAGTATTTGCCCTCTCTACTACTAGGGCAATCTGTTGATTTTTATTTTTCTCTTGTGCTATAGATATTGTTCGATTGATAGTGAAAAGTGTAAAATATCTGGTGCTAAGAAACTGTATAGTGCAGTAGTGAATCCAGAGGGTAGCCCAGCAGCCTCACCTTCCCCAGAATATAGACTTTACAAAAGTTTTGACTTCCACAAATAATTAATTATTTAACGCATATATTATGCAAAGTAGAGAGATTATTTATTGTACTATGATGTATATTTTTTTTTTTGTCTGAACAAATTTTCTATCAGAAATCTTACTCCAATCGAAAAATAAATTAGCAATGGTTTATCAGTGATTACAAATATAAATTAACTTTATGTCCTTACCTTTTCAACCTTTCACCTACAACAGTGATTGCACCACCTCCTAATCACCTTTTTTAGATTCGGAACATACTGAGGGATCAATTGTCTTTACTATGATGTATTGTATTTTTCTGTCTGTGATCAACTTTTCTACAAGAAAACTTGCTCTGAAGTATAGACTGTAGCTCATTTTCTGAAAGGTAATTTTTCTCTAATTTGTGCATTGGGAAAATCATTTTTTGATTTTCCAAGGGGTTTTCAAAATAATTTTAAAACTCGAAAGAAAGGTATGGGTAAAATGGCAAATTTTTACAGCGCGTCGTACAGTGGTCCGAAATGAATGTTTAGCACGACGAAAATAATACAGTCTACAATTTAAGTTAGGAAGCCAAATGATAGGTCGAAATGTTTTTAGTCATTAAATCCAATTTTTACATTTTTTTTTCAATTAAAATCCCTAAGAGTTAGGGGATTTTTTTACTAACAAGTATTTTGCATACTGAATTACATATTTTTAAGATCACTGATTTCAAAAATAAAAATTTCTTTAATTGAATAAAGGTGGTTATGGGGTTGTAATATAATGTTTTTCTAAGTTTTTAATATTTAATTATACATATATGTATATATAACACATTTTTACAAAATTGTTATTAAACATATTTTATTTTAAAATGGTTATTTTTTATTCATCTGATTCATTATCATAATCACTCGTCATCATAATATCATCATTACTATTATTAATTTCTTTGTTTTCGTCATCAATTATAAGAAGTTCTTCTACTTCTATTAGTAATTTTTCCTTTTCTGTTTTAATTATTTTTCTTGTCGATGATAAATATGGATCCAAATAAACTAATAGCATGGGTAAATTATATTAATTTGTATTGGTCCTGCTAGATTTCCTAGAAAGATGCTCTCGAAACTTGTGAAGTTCTGTATTATTTGCTGTAGCTTTTTTAAATAATTGTCCTAAAAATATAAAATGTATCATTATTAACGTATTGATGTACGCTGATAATAGTGAAATATTTACTTACCCATTGGAAGTAATGCATATTTCACAACATCAGCACCATGTATTAATATCTTATGGACACTACTAGGCATGTAATACCAAGGATGTAACTTGACATGTAAAGTCTTTGCGGTATATGTTTTAAATGAATCTATTTTAATTGCATGATGATTGGATAAAGCAGCTAAGATATAGAAAATATATTAAACACGAATCAATTTTCTACGTAAAATTAATTACCAACACCTCAAAGGCGGCTGAATTATACTTAGTTAAAAAGCTGAGAACTCGTACTACAACTTATAATAACGGACTTGCAGGTAAAAATAAGTAATTTTCATTCATAGCTTTTTAAAGTTACGTGATTAACAATCATTAGTTATTATAAAATTACACAATTGAAACGCAAATAAATAAACATAAGAGCATACATTTTGAAATTTGAACAACTTATATATCAATGTCCAAATTAAATAAAAAATTAATTTGGGAAACTAAAAAATATGAAAAAATATGTAGAAAATATATTAAACATTATTCACTGGATAAATGAAAAACGTACACAATATTTGTTCACAATGATGCATTTCTTATCGGTCATTGTTTTGATATAGCTACAAAAAAAATTATATTTGTGATCAGTTAATTACATAAACCCAGTTTATTGGCAGAATTCTAAAATTAGACAACTTTTGTTTTTTTTAATTTCGTCGCGCTAAACATTCATTCTGGACCACTGTGCGCCACGGCATTACCATTTTCATTGTTCTAATTATGTTGACACGGTGTTCTCTATTAGAAATATTACTCCAATTGAAAAATGATAATTGATCGATTTTGTTCCTTTTGATGCATAGCCACTGGCAGAGAATTTTGTTATCTAAAGTAATTTTCACAATAATTGAGAAAAACCGAAAAAGACGAAATATACGATTTTTTTTCCGAATTACGACACAATCATTATTTTAAATTTGTATGGTTTATGTTTTCTACCATAAATATTGCTCCAGTAGATAAACAACAAGATACTTTTTTTGTTACATTTTTAATCTAGTTCATGAGCCAGTTATTCGTTTTTTGATTTTCTTTATAGTTTTTTTAATAATTGAGCAAAATCGAAAAAAAAAATGCAGAAAGGTTGTACGAATGTACGATTTCGTATAAATATATAATTAACTAAAATAATAGAATAATAATAATTTAATTGTATATTTCAATATAATTGTTTTATAATTTTCAATTTAGTTTTTTTAATGTTATTTAGTTTAATGTAGCCATAAAGATTTGCCATTTTGACAAAAAACTTAAATTTGTTTTTTCTAAACGTGGTAAAATGTTCAAAACATTTGATTCATTTTTGAGCTAATAATAGACATTTTAATTTTGCGAGTTTTGTTTGTAATTGTTATTCGGTTGGTACTCTGTGTATAAAATTGTTAAACTAAACAAAACTGTTTGAAAATTTAACAGGTCTTTAAATGTCGTACTTTTTGGTAAAAAAAATATTGAGTTTTATGAGGTTTTATAGAAGTTAGGAGTTAACCCCCTTCCTCCTCCTCTCCTAAATTGGAGACTTTTACGAATCCTATGCTACAATATTTATATTGTATAGATCAAATAGCAGTATTTATTCAAAAAAAGAGGGTATACGATTTTTATTATACGTTTTGGATGTTTAGATCTGATGTGTAGCGAAGAAGCTATAATTTTTACTATTAAAATCACTGATTTTTACTGTAACGATTAATGTTATCTTCGATCTTGATTTTTTGTAATAGGTAATTAATTTTAAAAAAAATTGTAGAAACTTGTTATTTTTACCGAATACTTATATTAGCAGTTTTTAGATTTGGTAAAACATTTTGGGCGAGTTTTGAGCTGTATTTAGCCATTTGAAATGTTCAAGCTTTTTTTAGTTTTTATTCGGTTTTATGTGGCATGTAGCCAGTGGGCTCCATGGGGTCTGAACTTCCTGAAATTTAAGCTTCTCATAAAAAAATCATATTATTAGTTGGTAATTGTGATAAATTTTATGTTTGGACTCTTAAAAAATAACCCTGGCCACGTGTCTGGTTTTAAATAGATACAATTTTAATGACCTATCAAAACAGTTCGAAAAGTTGATATGATTTGGTGTATCATGTTAGTTTTATGGCACTAGTTTTTTTTCTACTACTGGTAAATGATCTTAGTTTTGAACTTACCTACAGCCCTTATGGTTAATAAAAATGTTCTGATTTTTAAGTCAAGCTGAAACTGTTTGGATTTTTCATTCCATGGTACTTAATTTAGTTAAAAATTGTTTTAAAATTTACAATACTTTTTTTAGGGGATCTAATAATTTTACTATGCTGTGTGGTTCTGACTGTAAACAACTTTTGGACCCAAAATATTTTTCCAATAGAAAAACGTCAAACGACATTATTAATCTAGTTGGTAAGTAAGTCGTTAGGTATTTGTTTTTCCAACCAGTTTTCAAAATATTTAGGAAAAGCCGAAAAAAGTTGTAAAATAAAAACTGACAAGTTTACGGTGTTACTATGATACCCTTATTTAAAAATTTAACGGTTTCTACCAGAAATATTGTGCCAATCGAAAAACGACCAGAGACCTTTTTTATTGGATTTTGAATGTATAGTTCATGAAGACTATCCATCTGCAACAGTGGTATACCCGTGAGCAGTCACAACTTTATGAAATTCATACAATCATACACCCCAGAGGGTAATGCCTCTTAAAATTACTATATACAATATTGCATGAGTACCTAACACTAATATCGGATATACCGCTTATAACCATGAACACTAGAGAAAGGACTCTGATCTATGCAAATAAAAGGAGGTAGAAAATTATTGCAAATCGCTAGAATTCACTTCGATCAGTGTTGTCGGTTTTCCATGTTAAGCATAGGAAACTTATTGGCTTTTTTATTATTATAATCCAAATGGTGAAACTAATGAATAATTACTATAAAATGTTATTTTTTAAGACCTAATTGTCCTCCATTAAATAGGTTTATTTCTATGTTTATACGTCTATTTACGACTAAATGATATAATTAGATATACTTTAGAATTTTATGTACCTACCTATCAATAATATCTTAATATATTATTCACGATTAATGGTATCTTTAATCGTGATATTAATAAATGCATGTTATCAAGACTCATACTATCACAATCACAAGACAAATATGCCTAATTAATGGTAGCTGCAGTGAGCAGTATCAACTAGTTAGGAATATTCCCAAAGAAAGAAATATATAATAAAAAAATCCGATTTCATTTTTTTTGGAAAAAGTCACACCACGAAATTATTAAACGTATAAAAAGTCATATAATTTATTAATAATACAAAGAATTAAAAATTAGTAATATTAGTAATAATTTTTTTACGAATATACAGGAAATCTATATTGTGAACATTTAAGGAACTTATGCTCTAGAGTGGCTGATAATAAAACAGTGACGGCGCCAGAACTTTTACATCAGGTGGGTTAAGTTAAGCCAACATTTTTTAGGAAGGGCCAACATTTTTCTTGGTACCTATGTATCAATCCGTGGAGATTATTATGGTAAAATAATTAAATAGGAATTATATTACATTATATACATCTAACCGATTTTCCCGGTTTTTCATATTTGCTGGGAAAACTCCTGAAAAATCGAAAAATGACCTTAATGTATCTTCCCAGTCAGATTTCGTATAGTTTCTCATTTTTCCTCCGTTTTTTTTTTTTTTTGATTTTTCGCATTTGTTGATCCTATTCGCTAGACCTGCAAACGTCTCCTACCTATAAGTAGCTGTCATCAAACCGATTT